GGGCGTGGGCGCATCGGATCAATCATTAGCTTAACCGACCGGACAAACTATATCGTTTAAAGATTTTATTCACCAGTGAAGGGGTTTTTTCAGGCTAACGTATTTACGAGTACAATGAGCATTTATTTGAACCGCCTTCCTCCCCCCTAACACGCATTGAAAATATTCAATCCCTTCTCCTTATCGTAGGTTTCCTCCGCGGCAGATTCGATACATGGGGCTGCAGTGGTCCCTTGATCCCAACAACCGCAGACGCGGGAGACCAGAACATTTTCGTAGTATCAGCTGACGCCGCTGACCCAAACATTCCGGAGCTCGAAGATGCGTATCCTAGTCGACCAGTGCTAGGATTATTGGCAATTGCAATAGTCGGTGTATGGTTAATACTCTCAGTCGTGAACATCGCTGCTGCCGCGGTAGCTGCCTCTTTACCAACGTATTTCTCGACAGCGTATCCATAACCGAATTGAGCCGGAGCGGGCATTTGTAGAGCCATACCCAGTTCCACACCGCGTCGTCGATGAAGAGGGCCTTGTCGGACCACCAAAGGCGATGATTCAGAAGGGAAGGGAACAGAGTTCAACCCAAGAGATAGCGACATTGTTGTTGTTAATTGGTTTGGAAAAAGATGCTAGCAGAAGAAAAACATTCAGACGACATACGTTTAAAGAGTAACGGAGACAAACTTACTTTATGATGGCGTTAAAGCTTCGTGAACAATCACAGTGCTCGTAAAGATTTCCTGTGGGATGAGATACACAATAGGACCAGCCTGAAAGATGCAACTGAAGAGATTTCCGCGTTAGTCGTTCCTCCTTATATATGCCCGAAAGGTTGGGAAGCGCTCAACGCCCGGCACCAACCATATTTTTACCCATCAAGCTCCTATACGCGGGATTGAATTGTTGCAATCTCTAGAGCATTCATTCGAAACCCGCCCGTTCATACCATGGAAACTCGGTGGAAAGAATATCAATGGCGATACACATATATTTCCTGCAATTGCCTCTCCGTCCCGCAGATAAGCCTGACCGGACGTAGGAATGACGGCAATCCCAGTGGCCATCCACCAATCGTCTGCATTATATTCGGAAAGGGGCTTTATTTCCGATGGATGCTAGTGCATGTTCCGGGGGGTATCACATATTCCCATAACCTGTTGGCCCTACACCCAATAACATCCTAGCTGAGGAACTAGGAGGAATAGAACAGGGAAATACGAAGGATGTTTCAGCGATTGCCAAGACTGAGGGAACAAGTGGGAAACTCTTGCTGATCCAGAGCTTTAGCAGTGCTAGGATCAACAACTAATCATCCGCTACTATCATCAAACGTCGCATTAAAGAACTAACCTTACACACCCATGGACAGCCTTGATGTCCAGCGAGAGCAACTATCATGGCTGTTACAACTGTATGTATCGTGATAGATTATAATATTCTGAAGCGAACCGCCTTGATGGCACTACAGAGTACAGTTCACTTCGGGAGCCCGATAGTCAAGATTGTCGTTGCATCGATTTCTATTGAGCTGTTCCTTTTGATTTCAAAGTGGGAAGACTGAAGAAAGGAAGTTTTACGGTTGCAGTGGGGATGGAACGGAGATGGATGAGATGGGATAATTGATTTCGGTTTCGGTCTCGACTGACCGCTGAAGTCAGGACGATCACGATGAAGATGAAGCAGTCGGAGATGAAGCAAAGATGATTAGAAGCCAAATGATGGTCCGGACAAAGGCTATCGCGTGCGGATAAGAAAATCGCATGAACTAAAGACCTGGATTCCGACTGGTCTCAAAGAGTTTCAAGGAGGTAAGATCAGAAAAAAAGTTGCTTATCAGATGAATGCACAACACAGGTCGCAATTAACTGCATAAAATCGTTAGGAAAAAAGGATAAAGAAGATTAATGCGGTATACGAGAAAAGTACTTCAATTGAAGAAGACGAGCTGTTTATTCAGCCTCAATATGAAACGGAAGATACAATGTGCTCACCGTCATGATGTAGACTACAGGATGTTTTCTGAACTAGAGCTATGTTGTTCGGAATAATTGTAGGTCGGCTCACTCTGTGTGCATCAAAATTCCCAAATTCAGAGGTGATGATTATTTACTCGCACTACAGATGTTGGATTTCCCTCCGTCTCATCATCCGGGATTTACCACAGGCCTCGCGATAACCATTCTAAACTTCGCTTAGACCTATGAAAATACCTGCCAGATAACCGCGCGTGCAAGAGCGATAAGATTCGTAGTAGATGATTCGAGAATTAACGTAGTCTTCGTAGTTGGATCAAGTACACTTGTGGGAGTGATATTTGAGGAAGATGGGAACAATTGGCACAGATATTCTGAGTTATAATAGTTCGAATGCGATCAATAATAATTCCATGGATGCAAGGCCTTTTTTTCAAATTATTGATTCGGCATCTCTCGGCATATGATTTGAGAATCACGTTCTACTTTCTGTTAATTAACTCCAAGTACAAATCTCATAAGCTACATTTTGACTGAATATTTTCTGCGAACAGTCCAAGACAAAATCAAGAACTTGTTATATTTTAATCCGACGTCTAGGTATATGCTATCGCACTTTTGAACTTAACCCTTAATAGTGTTTTTGCGTAGCTGAATACCATGACATCCACTCTTCCACCACTTATTCAAGCTATATCTGGCGCCATAGGTAGCGCATCGGCGAATACCCTAACGTATCCATTGGATCTAGTCACTACCAGGGTGCAGTTGGCGTCTCCGGTCGCAGACTTACGCGCTGATACCGATATGCAAGCGGACAAAGAGAAACAGAAGGAGCAAAAGCAGAAGCAGGGGAATTTCTTGGATTCATCTGGGACTCGGTTGAAACCACACAACAAGTATACTCAACTCAAAGCTGTTAAGATACTACGCTCCATTATTCGAGCAGATGGAGTTAAAGCGCTTTACGATGGTTTATTGACTGATACAGCGAGTACGCTTGTTTCAAAGTAGGTGATGACATTTGAATCACTCATCCAATGAAAATGACATTGTATTATTCGTATAGCTTCTTATATTTTTACATTTACTCCTTCTTTCGCAAACTTCTCATCCGACGTCTCAATGGTTCTAAACCCAACACATTCCCATCGAAGACATCATCAAAAACCATTCCTTCCATCAAGCTAGCCGTATGGCAAGATCTAGCACTCGGTTTTCTTTCCGGCGTTGCTTCGCGAGCAATATCAATGCCTCTGTCGGTGATTACTTTGCTACTGCAGACAGGACAACATGACTCTGAGGAATCCAATGATACTCCACGAGAGGGAAATGGCGATGCAGTAGTGCAAGCTGTGAAAAGAATATACAGAGAGCAGGGTTTAAGCGGATTCTGGCGTGGTAGGCTGTCTCAATTCCGAAGATTGCCTTTCCTGGATTGAACACGATCGCAGGTTTCAGCACAACCATCCTCCTCTCACTAAATCCTTCAATGACACTAGCTTTCTTTCAGTTCTTCAGGCGATTACTCACAATGATTCGTCGTCCGCCTCACTCGAATAAATCAACCGTACTGGACCCTACACCTACAGAAGCATTCTTCGGCGGGGCAGTATCAAATGCAATCTGTAGGCAGACTTGAATTTGATCGCCCAAACCTAGAGAATAAAATTTCTTTTCTTTCAGCTGTAGCACTGCTGTACCCTCTCATACTCTCCAAGACGCGTTTACAAGCTTCTCACAGGAGATCAGCAAGCTCACTTGAATCATCGTATTTCCCAGATACCACGACGTCGGCTCCGACGTTGAAAGCCATCATGCTCGATGCGTATATAGGGCGATATCCTCACGACGAATTACAGGAATCGGACACCAAGCGTGTTAGTGGAATTAAAGGCTTATATCAAGGTATTGAGATGCAAATAATGAAGGGATTTTTAAATCAAGGAGTGACGTTCCTCGTTAAAGGACGGTGAGTGTTGTTTCTTCCATCTGCTTTCTCTTTCCCTCTTTTTTTGTGGATGCTAGGAAGACTTTCATATGTTCATACGCGATAAAATCCAGCTCGCGGTGGTCTATCTTCCTCTATACTTTCCGTTATCCTGTGTCCCGCATCTCCGGCGACCTTGAATGTATGCTCATTTTGGAAATCACAGAATCGAACAACTTATTATCCGAGCATATATGAGACACAAATTGGGTGCTTCAAACCTCCCAAATTTACCATTACCATTGCTATTGCCTATATCTATGCCTCTTGACTCCAATAATCCTCATCGTTCGCTCGAAACATGGAATATTGTTGAACATGTTGGGAGGAGGTATCTCTGAATTCGTTATAGTTGGAGGGCGTTAAGTAAAGTTAGAATACATAGTACATGCGACTTTGGAGTTTAACCGGGATTCAAAGAGGGGGGGAAGCTATAGGTAGGAATGGCGCGAGTCTACAAACTTGGACTTCGGGAACAGATGTTACCTTGTTCTGTGGATCCACTTAGATATAGTTTGCAGTCTTCAAAAACGAGTGTTCCAACGAGATTCTGAGTTCCCTGCTACACAATTCTGTTGTGAGGAAGCGAAGAGGTTAGAGAATGAGATAGTTAACAATTGTACAATGATTCTCAACTATGAATACACAGACAGCAACAATAGAGGAGGGGTTCTTTTTTCGTTTTTTGTTCTGCGGGGTTTGAGCAGGCAAAGAGAACTACAATGTCTGTGTGCACCTGCGGCTGCTGCCCATGGGGATGTAGTTACTAGTGAATACTTGTTTCGGGATTACTTCTTTGAGGTTGCTTTCCTAAAAATGCATCATAGATTTCACCCCCGGCTAGCAATCCAAACCATATTCTGACACCTTTCTATGTTGAGTTAAAATTTTTGAATAAAATTCATTGCGATAAGATGATGACTCAATAGGAGGGAGTGTGGGGAGTCCTAAGTAGATTCCCATTGTTGAATTAAAAAAACAAGCGCACACCTGACCGACCACCAGAATCCATTGGAACTCCTGAGAAGCAAAATATGCTTCCGGCCAGGATTGAACTGGCGACCCTTGCATTGAATGCGTGGGAGAAACAGGCGCCCTTATAAGTACAAAGCTCTAACCAACTGAGCTACAGAAGCACCAAAAAGCTGCCCTTGACTGGCTGCCATTGAGATGGGAGTGTCAAGAACAGAAGTTACACAGATATATTTTGAGTTTATGTATCACGATTCAACCACGATTCAACAAAACATGTAACAGCTTCGAGGGGTGTCTGAAAGCTATGATATCAAAGGGTGACATGGTTTATACATCCCAAAATTTGGAGTGATTCCTAGTCTTGCAGTTGTTAGTGGTTGCATGGATTTTGGTGTGTAATTAAGATAGGTTGAATAACCCCCAAAGTGTTTTATGTATTGTGTCTCAAGGATATGCTGCGACCATAAGGGATATCTCACTTGAGAACTTGGACATGAATCAGCTTTTGCAGTGGCTAAATAAAAATTGGAAAACCAAATAGAACTTAGTAATGAATACCTAGTACAACTTCCAGAAAGCTCAATGGTGTTAAATTTGTGGAAGGTAGAGTATTGGGGAGACGCATACCTCGTCCTTGGTGTCCTCCTCCGATAGAATAAGGTTTCTCTATTAGGGTCTGGACTTTCTGTCTCACTTATCGATGTCTCATTTGAATTGTATGTCTTGCGGGATGGTATCATTCTTTGAAATTGACTGCCGTCGCGTTTTGAAAGATCACAATCTGCAATCTCCAATGTAAGCGCCCAATAAGCGCCCACTTCTACATTTCGTCACTAGCGCACTGACTCAGTAACTGGTTCTTGAACACGAACACCATTTGTGCTAATTATTCAATTTAGCTCATTGTGCTTTTTTCGACTTACGACTAGCATCTAACCTGGTTCAGCAACGGAACTACGATACTCTGGGCTCATGTTTTGACAGGTGAGCGCTGGATTGGGATCAACGATTTGCAAGCAATAATTGATAGAATTCCTTGTATGCTTTCAACCAGTAACATGTATTTTGTTGACAAGATTCGTATTGCACTTGCCCAGACAACGGGCTTTCTCACAACTCCTGTCACCATTCTCCTGGTTTTCGTTTACCTTGCAGTCGCGCTTTCAACATTCATCACTGATCAGTTACCGCCAGTTCCCTCAGCATCTACTCTACAGTCACGATACGGAGGTCTGAATGTTCTGGAAGCCTACGAAGACCTTCAAGTTATTGCTGCACGACCACATCCATATCACTCGCATGCTAATGACGTGGTACGTGAACACCTTCTGCAACGACTCAGCAATATTCGGCTCCAATCCAGTATTCGCGACAATCTTATCATTAATGACGACCTAGTCACAAACGGAACGTGGGTAAGCAGCTTTGGCGGTGCTGGCTCCGGCAACTATTTCCAGGGAAACAACATTCTTGTAAAGATACGCGGAACTTCCGGAACTTCCGAAACTTCAGATCCTCCTCTTCCGGCTGTTCTCTTCTCTGCGCATTTTGACTGTGTGTCCACGGCGTCAGGCGCAGTTGACGATGGAATCGGTATCGTCACTTTACTACAACTTGTACAATATTTTGCTGCGCATCCACCTCACCGAACTGTCCTCTTCAACATCAATAATGGTGAGGAAGATGGTCTAAACGGCGCTCACGCTCTCCTTGAGCATCCTTGGATTAAAAACACATCCCATCCCGAATACATCAACCTATACGGATCCACCTTTCTCAACCTTGAGGGCGCAAGTAGCGGTGGTCGTCCTTTGATGTTCCGCGCCACTGATTTCGGGTCTGTGAAAAGCTGGAGGAAGGTGGACACTCCTCATGCAAACATTATTTCTGCCGAAGCGTTCAACCTAGGCCTCATTCGAAGCTCAACAGACTATTCTGTTTATACCAGTCAGTTTGCCGTACCAAGTCCACTAAATTCGACAGAGTTCGCGCCTTTACGAGGCTTGGACTTTGCTTTTTATCGTGGTCGATCCAAGTACCATACAAAGCACGATGCGATTTCTCCCACAGAAGGTGGAAACAAAGCGTTGTGGGCCATGTTGCATCCCACATGGGCAGCTGGTATTGCTCTTACCAACGACGACGATATGTCACCGGATTTCAATGAAAAGGCAGTGTATTTCGAATGTACGTTTTATATCATTCGTTGGGATATTCTCAATCTAAAAGATCAATCAGTATTCAATGCCGCTCTCGTCCTCTTCCGACTGACCAACCTCCTCACATTCAATATCACCGCTCTCATCGTGGGTCCCATTGTTCTCATCCTTCTTGCCATATCCGAATCTGCCTTGGCTCGCTCTCGAGCCGCCAAAAGACAGCGAGCGACATTTTCTCCGAGTGTAGTGCACCCAACGGAACTAGAAACAGAATCAGCAGCCTCCCAAGTACTTTCTCCAGGTGGTACTATCGTTGAAGACCTGCCTCCCGAATCTGAAGACGCTAATATCCAGCCGCATCAGAATGACAGCAAATGGGTCAAAGCCAAGCACAGAGTGGGAGGTTCTTCTCGTGTTTTGTGGAAGCATGGACGTTTCTGGATTGCTCTTATTGTTACCATTGGAGCACAAATTGGATTAGTCGCTGGCTTCATTAATCTTAACCCCTTCGTAGGTTTCCCAATCATGAATTTACGTATATCAATTGATCCCTGTATAGGTCGTGTATAGAGTTCCCTCTATACCCATCCTATCTTCATTCACCCTCTCAATCCTCATCCTTTCTCTTGTGTTGTCGCCTCCTTTCGTCAATCACAATGCTCACATCCTAGTACTCTCTCGAGCTCCTACCACAACGAATGTCCCTGCGTGGGCTTCTTTTCGCACGCTGCTTATCCACAGCTACATCTTCTCCTGGCTTTTGGTCTTGTTATCCACTGTCAGTATTACGCAGTTTGAATTCGGCGGCGTGCTGTATATGACCAGCGCCTGCAATGGCCTTACATGGTTTGCTGCGGTGATCTGTGGTGTCGCAGGTTGTTTCGGTGTTGCAGAAACTGCAGAATTGAAGGTTGTCAAGGCCTCCAGGAATGATGATGATGTCCCCGAAACAGAAGACGAAACGGAGGTGAACGAGCGTACACCTCTCGTCGGCCGAAAACATCTACGAGTTGTTAAGAATTATTCGACAGACGGCATCGACCCGGTCGAGAACCCACAACCATATGTGCTCTGGATTCTTGTTCTACTCATCTACGTTCCGTTTCCTCTGATCCTTGTATCTCATGTGGCTATTTTCCTCGTCCCTTCAGTGAATCAAACCATGATCGATGGAAGTCCCGCAGCCACGGTTTACGCCATAATATCTCTGCTTTCCCTCATTGCTTCTCTTCCTGCTATTCCATTCATTGGAGCTCGTAGAGTACATCGGTACTTGCTTTGGTCGTTGGGTGTCATATGGGTCGTCTGTATAACTCTGGCCTGGATTCCATGGTCCGGTACTTGGGCTGGAAGTGTTGAAGGCTTCGAAGGAGGGCTGTTTCCGTTCTCAGAAGACGCCCCGTTGAAAGTGTTCTTCCAACAAAAGGTGGAACTATCGCCCTCTGCCAACAACAGCAGTGCAACAGCGAGGATAGTGACCACTATGACAGGCGCTACACCGTTCATTCACAATTTGATACTTCCCATGATTCCATCCTATATGCACTCATTAGGTAGCGGAAGGCCAGTCGGGTGCTCAAATAACAATGTTGACGAAAGGAAAACTGGGTTAGCGAATTGTAATTGGGAGACTCACAATACAACTCTTACATCCTTTGATGCATTGAGTATGATCCCCGTGGCTGCAGATATCACCTTTGAACACACGAAAAAGAATCATACATCCTGGGATTGGACATCTACGACAAACCCTTGGTTCGAGGCTCACGCCAAATCCATGGCCTTCAACGGAAACCCTGGTGCTCGGTTCTTCATTACAGGAAACAACAACCGAGCATGCCGAGTGTACTTTGACGACTCGATTGCAAAGTTCCGTGCGCGGACTGTCGACGCAACGAGTGATCTAGAAATTGATAATGAGGGAAGCTGGGAGGTTCAACGTGGGTTTGGATCCGATCGCTACGATATGTTGAAACTTTGGACGAGGACATGGGGCCAAACGTTTGTCGTGGATGTACAGTGGCCCAACATTTCTTCTGTCTTGAAGCAGGATAATACCGGTGCTCAAAAACCCTTTTTAGCAAACACCACTACGAACAGTGGACGCGTGGCATGCGAATGGGCAGAATATGAAAGTGGGATGGTCGGTATGGGTTTGTCGACTTCACCTGTACCCTCGCCGTCTGGGGAACGTATATCAGGCGGAAAGATACCTGCGTTCGAGGAAGTGTTGGCTTATCTTCCTCAATGGGCTGTGGTCAGCAAGTTAACAGATGGATTGGTTGAAGTCGAGGAGAGGTTTGCGTTGTAGTGAATATTTGTTTTCTTGGATGCTCTTTGGACTGTCTTTGCCTGTGCGCCGGATGCCGGATACTGTATTATTTTAATGTCTTCCGCTAATGTATCATAAAGTAGCTAGTAAGTATAAAAACGACTGCTGCTCTAAAGTATAGTATAAGGGAGAGTTTTGTGAGATACAGTGTCAAGATCAGTTCGAACAACTTGAACCCGCTGAGTGATGAATTCGTACGTTCGCGTTCCCATTCTTCGGATTTCATGCTCGAACTACGATTGAGCATGGCTGATTGTCACTCAGAATCAATATCCGTGCTTTCCCCACCTGAATCGCCCTAGAGTTAATGTAATGCAATGCTCGAAGTTTTCTATAACAGGATTGCGACTTCCTCAACCTCCGAATAAGAAGAAAAGTAATTGAGACCAGGCGTAGAATATCCTATAGCGCGCTACCGCATTAGTCAGCCGCGGAACCGCCGCACCGCTTTTCCAATTTCCTCCTCAACCTCCTCTCACGACGTGTCGCGTTCACATACTTTACACTTTCTAACATTACTACGGAATCCAGCACCACGACACTGACAATTTAATGTCATATCCACGCTTTTCATCCTTGGGAAATGGCCAAGGCTTCGAACGTAAACGAACAAACTTGACCATAAATGCAGATCCTCCTCATGCTGCATCGTCCAGCGCTTCATCTTTCT